AAATCTCTTTGGGTTGGGGTTATTGGTTAGAGTTTTTTTTTTTTTTGTAAAAAAAATCTAATTCTCTCAACAAAAAAATTTAGTCTCAAATTTATAATCTTATATGTTTTATTTTTAATTAAAGAGACTGTGATAAAGCATTCTCACTATGCAAAGGCATAATAATATTTAAAAAATGTCGTGTGGATGTAGCAAAGGCATAATAATGCTTAAAGAATGATGTGTGGATGTAGCATTCCTATCATGCAAAGACACGATGATACTTACAAATCTTCAATGGAAAAATATTTATGTTTATTGGAGAATGATACCTAATTATTGGCATTCTTATTGTATGACAAGATACAATAGTGTCAGAAATTGACAATTAAGGATTGCTCGCCGTTTTTATATGAGCAAGTTTTAATAACATTTTAAAAAGATAAATTTATAATAAAGAGCTTATGTTTGAAGCCAAGACAAACTTATGAGAAAGTGCTACTGGCAAAGGGTAAATTCTTCGAGATACTAATGCGACAATTTTTCTAGGGCTAAATAAAAAATTAGCCTAAATGAATGGAAAGAAAGTGATAAAAGTGTGATTTATGTGAGAAAAAATTTCTCTAACAACTTGTACTATGTATGTACAAGACCAAAAAATATGCAGGCTATTAAAGCTCATGGCAACACTTAGAACGTTATACTTGAGGATTCTAACACTTTATTTCTCTTAAGCAGTCATATATATATAGAGTTCAAATCGAAAACCACTACTGACTCTAGACTAGAGTTTACTGTTTCATTAAAGTTCAATATAGAGCACACTTTTATGATGCATAACAGTCCCATCTTTGCCTAGCTAGTAAATTCTCTTAGCTAATTTCAATATTAAAATGAATAGGAAATGTTCTCAAACTTTAAAATTAAACTGGGTTTTAATTAAATGAAATTTATCTTATTAAATTAAACAAGTAATTAATCCTACATTATATTAATTTATGTAAAAGTTTAATTAACTTATAAGTTACATACATACATACATACATGCATACGTACATACATACATATATATATAGTGTTTTTTCCTAATTTCTAACTTATTGAAAAATTAAAAAAAAAAAAAAGAAGAAGAGGAAGAAAATAAATCAAACTTTAATATCTCCTCCCACACCCTCTCTCCTTCGATCAAACCCTAATTAAATTTTCAATCCCATATATATTCAACTCCATCTATATATCGGAATGTTCTATTTTATATATAATCGTTTTACTAATTTGGTCTAATTTTGCTTTTAGAAATTATGTTGTAATTGATTTTGTTATTAATTTGAGGCTTCAGTAATTCCATTGTATTCGATCTACTGGTTTATATTTTGTTGGAATTGAATCCTACTGTTGTATTTTGTGGCTTGTCAACATGTCAGTGTTTGTCCTAGCTAGAAATCAATTAACGTCGAAGATTTTGTTCTCTTCTTTAGTTTGCAGGAATTGGAACTATCACTGCATCCAAATATATTAGATTTATGACACAAACTTAATTATTTGAGGATTAATTTATTATGGAAGGCTAGCTTTGTTACATAAACCATAACAATACTTCTAATTCTTTAGGAGTTCAGTACACTCAACTGAGACATGAGACTAGATATCTTAATTTGTTTTGAAAATGTGTCTTCATGCCCTTATTTGGAAAAAAAATTGCTAAAAAATTAATTTATAAAATAATTAAATATATGAGATTGATAATTCAATTAGGATTCAAGAAAGAAAAGCGGGATATGACAGCTTTTATTTTAATATTTGTTTTTAAAAAACAACATGTAATAGTAATATATATGCATCATTGCACAAAGTCAATGTTTTGGGAAATAAATTTTAAAAAATGTCATATTTTAGGAATAAAGATTTAAAAATGCCTTGATTTGAAAAAAAAAAAGAAATCTACATATATTGAGATATAAATTGATAAGAAAATTAAAAAGTTGTTACAAAAAAAATAAAATAAAATAAAAAATCTTAGGCACTAAGGTGATATAATTCTTGAAAACTTTACTAGACAAATAAGAGTGTTTTATTAGTGGAGTTTTGAGTTATTTTACTTGTATAGAGAATTAGTAGAGTCAAATGACGAACAGTCAATCTATTTTATTCTGAAAAAACATATTAAGACTATATACATAATAATTTTAACCTTATAATTATAACATACTAGTTTTTTTAACACAAATAGAAATATGTACATAGATGTATTTGTATGTATAAATAAATAAATAAAAATTCAATAAAAATTATTATTAATTAAAAAATTAAACACGATCTAAAATAGCATTAATTGTCATATCACGCACAAAATAAATGAAATCTTAAGTATTAATTAATTCATTTTCAATTTGATCTCGTAAGTTAATAATAAATATTTGATTAGCTCGTGTTTGCGCCCCTCCTCTTGTAAGCACCTTTGAATCGAACCTAGTTGGAACACTTCTAAAATTGTAGCAATCCTCTAGAGAGAGTTCTTCCAACTTCTAAGGACATTGAAGGGAAGACGGAACCTCAATTAAACTTTTATAGCCTTTAAGACTTAAAAACTCAAAATTCTTGGCCTTTGATAGATCCGACAATTCGTCGAATAGTCATGAGTAAGTGAGTTTGATTTTTACTAAATTTAAAAGATCCTCTCATAAGAAAAAGACATACTTAGAAAATTAGCTTCTTCGACTTTTTCGTTTCTTCTACGTAGACACGTTTGCAAAAATTCAATCATATATACATGTACTACTCTCCAAAGTTTTTCAACATTACTCAAACGAAGATGAAGTTCAACAAGGTATTCAACACAAAAATTTTGTAGCATAGATTTCCAAGGAAATCTCTCCCAATATAGATATCTCGACTCATCGGAAAGACCACTAGAAGGAAGGTGCAATCCGAGTAAAGGCAAAGCCATCATAGAATTCGAGAAATCTAAGATGATCCATCGTAGCAAAAGCATTAGATTCCAAGTGCAAATCTCTCGATAATTTGGATCCGTACAAAGATATGCCTTCAATTCGATCACTTCCCTAAAAATCAAGAATATAGAATAAAAAAATAAAAAAATAATACAATTTTTTTTTTCAAAAATGTGCTTGAAACTTCAAATTTTTACTAGATATGAAATTCTTTGGTAAATATGTCGAGGAGAGAAGAAAAAAATAGTTAATGAGTTTAGCTTTGACCTTCTTTTTTGACAATGGGGATAGTAAATCATATATACCTATACTCTTTTCCAATTTTCTCGAACAATCATGATAAGTGAGGCTGATTCTTATTAAATTTACAAGATCTTGTCATAAGAAAAAGACATAATTAGACAATTAGCTTCTCTAACTTTTCTATTTCTTCTACGTAGACACATTTGTAGAAATTAAATCATATATACATGTACTCCTCTCCAAGGTTTTTCAACATTACTCAAACGAAGATGAAGTTCAACAAGGTATTCAAGCATAAAAATTTTGTAGCATAGATTTCCACAAAAATCTCTCCAATGTAGTTATCTCAACTCATCAAAAAGACCACTAAAAGGAAGGTGCAATCCGGTGAAGGCAAAGCCACACAAAATTCAAGAAATCTAAGACGATCCATCTTAGGGAAAGCATCGGATTCTAAGTGCAAATCTCTCGATAATTCAAATTCATAAAAAGATACACCTTCAATTCAATCACTTCCCTAAAAATTAAGGATACGGAATAACAAATAAATAAATAATACAACATTTTTTCAAAAATGTGCTTGAAACATCAAATTTTTACTAGATACGAAATTCCTTGGTAAATATATCGGAGGAGAGAAGAAAAAAATAGTTAATGAGTTTAGCTTTGACCTTTTTTTTCAACAATAGGGATAGTAAATCATATATACCTATACTCCTCTCCAAATATGTCGGAGGAGAGAAGAAAAAAAGTTAATGAGTTTAGCTTTGACCTTCCTTTTCGACAATGGGGATAATAAATCATATGTACCTATACTCCTCTCCAATTCCGTCGAATAGTCACGGTAAGTGAGGTTGATTTTTATTAAATTTACAAGATCCCGCCATAAGAAAAAGTCATAATTATACAATTAGCTTCTTCATTTTTTCTATTTCTTTTACGTAGACACGTTTTTAGAAATTAAATCATATATACCTGTACTCCTCTCTAAAGTTTTTTAACATTACTCAAACGAAGATGAAGTTCAACAAGGCATTCAAAACAAAAATTTTGTAGCATAGATTTCTAAGAAAATATCTCCCAATGTGGATACCTCAGCTCATCGAAAGACCACTAGAAGGAAGGCATAATCCAGTGAAGGCAAAGCCACCATAGAATTCGAGAAATCTAAAACGGTCCATCTTAGCAAAAACATCGATTCCAAGTGCAAATCTCTCAATAATTTGAATTCGTACAAAGATACGCCTTTAATTTAGTCACTTCCTTAGAAATCAAGGATACAAAATAAAAAATAAATAAATAATACAATTTTGTTTTTCAAAAATGTGCTTGAAACTTCAAATTTTTACTAGATATGAAATTCCTTGGTAAATATGTTAAAGGAGAGAAGAAAAAAATAGTCAATGAGTTTAGCTTGGACCTTCTTTTTCAACAATGGGGATAGTAAATTATATACACCTATACTCCTCACCAAATATGTTGGAGGAGAGAAGAAAAAAATAGTTAATGAGTTTAGCTTTGACCTTTTTTTCGACAACGGGGATAGTAAATCATATATACCTATACTTCTCTAATTTTGTCGAACAGATCACAGTAAGTGAGGTTGATTTTTATTAAATTTACAAGATCCTGTCATAAGAAAAAGATATAATTAGAAAATTAGCTTCTTCAACTTTTCTTCTTTTTTTTCTACTTAGACACGTTTACGAAATTAAATCATATATACATGTACTCTTATCCAAAAATTTTCAATATTACTTAAACGAAGATGAAGTTCAACAAGGTATTTAGAACAAAAATTTTGTAGCATAGATTTCCAAGAAACTTTCACCCAATGTAGATACCTCGGCTCATCGAAAGCCCACTAGAAGGAAGACGTAATCTAGTGAAGTCAAAGCCACCATAGAATTCAAAAAATCTAAAATGATCCATTTTAGCAAAAGCATTAGATTTCAAGTGCAAATCTCTCGATAATTTGGATTCGAACAAAGATACACCTTCAATTTGGTCACTTCCCAAAAAATCAAGGATACAGAGTAAAAAATAAATAAATAATACAATTTTTTTTTTCAAAAATGTGCTTGAAACTTTTAATTTTTACTAGATATAAAATTCCTTGGTAAATATGTTGGAGGATAGAAGAAAAAAATAGTTAATGAGTTTAGCTTTGACCTTCTTTTTCAATAATGGGGATAGTAAATCATATATACCTATTCTTCTCTCCAAATATGTTGAAGGAGAGAAGAAAAAAAATAGTTAATGAGTTTAGTTTTGACCTTCTTTTTCGACAATAGAGATAGTAAATCATATATACTTGTACTCTTTTTTAATTTCGTTGAACAATCACGGTAAGTGAGGTTGATTTTTATTAAATTTACAAGATCTTGTCATAAGAGAAAGACATAATTAGAAAATTAGCTTCTTCAACTTTTCTATTTTTTCTACCTAGACACGTTTGCAAAAATTAAATGATATAAACTTGTAATCCTCTCTAAAGTTTTTCAACATTACTCAAACGAAGATGAAGTTCAATAAGGTATTCAACACAAAAATTTTGTAGCATAGATTTCCAAGGAAATCTCTCCCAATGTAGATATCTCAACTCATCATAAATACCACTAGAAGGAAGGTGCAATCCAGTGAAGGCAAAGCCACCATAGAATTCGAGAAATCTAAGATGATCCATCTTAGCAAAAGACTCAGATTTCAAGTGCAAATCTCTCGATAATTCGGATCGAGTACAAAGATATGCCTTCAATTCGGTCACTTCCCTAAAAATGAAGGATACATAATAAAAAATAAAAAATAATACAATATTATTTTCAAAAATGTCTTGAAACTTTAAATTTTTACTAGATATGAAATTCCTTGGTAAATATGTCGAGGAGAGAAGAAATAAATTGTTAATGAGTTTAGCTTTGACCTTCTTTTTCGACAATGGGGATAGTAAATCATATATACCTAAACTCCTCTCCAAATATATCGGAGGAGAGAAGAAAATATAGTTAATGAGTTTAGCTTTGACCTTCTTTTTCGACAATGGGGATAGTAAATCATAAATACATGTACTCCTCTCTCATTTCATCGAACAAGTCACGATAAGTGAGGTTGATTTTTATTAAATTTACAAGATCCCGTCATACAAAAAAAAACATAATTAGACAATTAGCTTCGTCAACTTTTCTATTTCTTCTATGTAGACATGTTTGCAAAAATTAAATCATATATACCTGTACTCCTCTTCAAAGTTTTTCAACATTACTCAAACGAAGATGAAGTTCAACAAGGTCTTCAACGAAAAAGATTTATAAGCATAGATTTCCAAGGAAATCTCTCCTAATGTAAATATCTCAACACATCGAAAGACTACTAGAAGGAAGGTGCAATTCAGTGAAGGCAAAGCCACCATAGAATTTGAGAAATCTAAGATGATCCATTTTAGCAAAAGCATCGGATTCCAAGTGTAAATCTCTCGATAATTCGGATCCGTACAAAGATACGCCTTCAATTTGATCACTTCCCTAAAAATTAAGGATACGTAATAAAAAATAAATAAATGATACAATGTTTTTCAAAAATGTGCTTGAAACTTCAAATTTTTAGTAGATTTGAAATTCCTTGGTAAATATATCACAGGAGAGAAGAAAAAAATAGTTAATGAGTTTAGCTTTAACCTTCTTTTTCGACAACAAGGATAGTAAATCATATATACCTATACTCCTATCTAAATATGTCGGAGGAGAGAAGGAAAAAAGTTAATGAGTTTAGCTTTGACCTTTTTCTTTTTACAATGGGGATAGTAAATCATATATACATGTACTCCTCTCTAATTCCATCGAACAGATCACGATAAGTGAGGTTGATTTTTATTAAATTTACAAATCCTATCATAAGAAAAAGACATAATTAGACAATTAGCTTCTTCAACTTTTTTATTTTTTCTACGTAGAAACGTTTGCAAAAATTAAATCATATAAACTCGTAATCCTCTCCAATGTTTTTTAACATTACTCAAATGAAGATGAAGTTCAACAAGGTATTCAACACAAAAAATTTGTAACATGGATTTCCAAGGAAATCTCTCCTAATATAGATATCTTAGCTTATCGGAAAGACCACTAGAAGGAAGGTGCAATTCAGTGAAGGCAAAGCCAACATAGAATTCGAGAAGTCTTAGACAATCCATCTTAGCAAAAGCATCGATTCCAAGTGCAAATCTCTTGATAATTCAAATCCGTACAAAGATATGCCTTCAATTCGGCCATTCTCCTAAAAATCGAGGATACGGAATAATAAATAAATAAATAATATAATTTTTTTTCAAAAATGTGCTTGAAACTTTAAATTTTTACTAGATATGAAATTTCTTGGTAAATATGTCAAAGGAGAGAAGTAAAAATAGTTAATGAGTTTAGCTTTGATCTTTTTTTTCGAAAATGGGGATAGTAAATCATATATACCTATACTCCTCTCTAATTTCGTCGAACAGATCACCGTAAGTGATGTTGATTTTTATTAAATTTAAAAGATCCTATCAAAATAAAAAGGCATAATTAGACAATTAGCTTTTTCAAATTTTCTATTTCTTCTACGTAGACACGTTTGCGAAATTAAATCATAAATAACTATACTCCTCTCTAAATTTTTTCAACATTACTCAAACAAAGATAAAGTTCAACAAGGTATTCAACAAAAAAATTTTGTAGCATAGATTTCCAAGGAAATCTCTCCTAATGTAGATATCTTAGCTCATTAGAAAGATAACTAGATGGAAGGTGCCATTCAGTGAAAGCAAAGCCACCATAGAATTCAAAAAATCTTAGACGATCCATCCTAGTAAAAGCATGAGATTCCAAGTGTAAATCTATCAATAATTCGGATCCGTACAAAGATACACCTTCAATTCGGTCACTTCCCTAAAAATGAAGGATACATAACAAAAAAAATAATAATAATACATTTTTTTTCAAAAATATGCTTGAAACTTCAAATTCTACTAGATATGAAAGTCCTTGGTAAATATGTCGGAGGAGAGAAGAAAAAAATGGTTAATGAGTTTAGCTTTGACACTTTTTTTCAAAAATAGGGATAGTAAATCATATATACATGTACTCCTCTATGATTTCGTCGAATAGTCACGGTAAGTGAGGTTGATTTTTATTAAATTTACAAGATCCTGTCATAGGAGAAAGACATAATTAGACAATTAGCTTTTTCAACTCTTTTTTTTTTTCACGTAGACATGTTTACAAAAATTAAATCATATATACATGTACTCCTATCCAAAGTTTTTCAACATTACTCAAACGAAGATGAAGTTCAACAAGGTATTCAGCAAAAAAATTTTGTAGCATAGATTTCTAAAGATTTTGCACTGCAGAGTACTTTTTCATATCCTGATCTAGAGCAGCTGGTGAACTCAAAGCTACTAACTGGTCTACACGGAAATTGACCAAGAAAATGGCAAACAAAGAAAACAATCGTATAAGCACATATTTTTGACCGTTAGCAACGCAAAATGTACGCGTGGACTTACAAGTAGTGCTGTGCAATGACAACTTTGTCTAGGACAGACAAGGAAGGAGAGCGGCCACCAATAATGTGACCTTATAAAAATTTTGGAGAAAACGGGCCGCCACTTCTCTGCACATGGAAGTTCTGATCAATCTTGTGGCTGCCCACTGCCAATCCTACCTGTGACAATCTAGTCCTCAAAATTTTGATGGGTGGGATACCTTTTACAATGACAACTATGTGACGTAAGATAGTTATAGTTTTGGCATTGTTGGGGATTTTAATTATGTCCAAACAATAATAATAAAAAGGAAATTGTATGATTGCTGGAGTACCATCATTTAGCAGACAGGAGATGAATCTAGAAGGGATTGGCAAGATCATTGGAACGTGGAATTTATTTGAGGTTCCCGTGATCTATGAGTGTCTCGCCCTTCTGCTGCTTGCTTAGTGTAAGTTTGCTTTGCAATTATACATTTATGTGCCATGTTTTTTAGGAGTTGCCATGAAAGAAGCATTAATTTTTCTTTTATAAAAAAAGAAAAAGAAAAAAAAATGAAAGAAGTGATGATTAAATTCTTTGTAACACAATTCTTTTAAAATTTATTTAAACCTAAAAAAATCCAGAAAATGAACAATCTTTTTAACTACCGCAGCAATATTTTGGAGTTAACCTCTCCCCTTCACTTTCAGAATATATAGGTTGTATAGTCTCAGCAAGGAAGCTTTCACACGCCTCATGGTGACAGAGATAGACGTGATCTAGCTATTGAGGGTCATATCTATCGGATCAGTGAATTTCTTGAAATTTATTTCTCTCTCTCTCTCACACACACACACACATATCTACGAATAATTAATAACCTATTCAGCATCATGACCATCTCTTACTGATGTAGTAAACGAGAGGAATGCTGGTTGAAGTTTTATGGCTGGAAACAGTTCGAGTGGTTTATAAGGATTAGTCAAGTAGTAGTATTACGAGAAAAAATATTAGTTCAAATGTTGTGTGTACGCATTCATTCTTTTGATAATTTGTTAGCTAGTTCCTCGTTTTTATTTATAATTATTATACACATTCATGTCCTTTACAAGACATGTTTATAAACATATTGTGATAAGATATTTTTAAAAACTGATCAAATGATGATTTAATAGATTTATTAAAATACTGAAAGTTAATGTTGTGACTTGTATAAATAACAATCAACTAATCAAGTAGAATAGATACAAGTAATGAGAGAAATAAAAGAAATAGCAAGGAGTGCTAGAAAAACATAAGTGGTGTGGCAGATAGGTGGATAGTAAAAGTCTAAGTAGTTGAAGTTTTAAGTGACATTTGGTGTGTGAGTGAGAGAGTTTTAAGAAAAGAAAAAGGGAGTTTAGAGGATAACCTTTGACCACTATGATTGTATCATATCATTCATATTTAAAAAGTCAAAATTGAGTCGAAGAAACTAGATATTTTTGAACTAAACTAATTTAACTTGCAAGTAAATGCTAAAAAAATTAAATCTTTCTTTAGCGAGACTTTGCTCCGAGTTTATCAAGTCAATCTTTCTAATGCATCTTAAAAATAAGATATGAACACATGTCCTACTAGAATACCCATGTCAATCCTTGTGTGACCCAAAATCTTATGCTAAACGAGGTCCATCATTGCTCCAATGTCAAACCAAGAAAAAATAACATTAGTAAGAACAAAATAAAATTAGCTAAATTAATTAATTAATTTTTTTAAAAAAATTGATATATACATTTAGCCCCCTACATGGACTATCTTACTAGGGACTATGTTTGTGCAATCATGTATAGAGAGATAGAGAAAGAACAAAGATAGAAAACATAATGTGACAATGACTACAATAGATTTGTTGTGAGTCTTTCAACACATAAAAAATAAATAAAACATGAGATAGGTTTGATGTGATCCTTTCAATGCATTAGTAACTACTTATAGGCCTACCATGAGCCTCTAGGCTTACCACAAGCCTCTTTGCTAAAAAAATAAAAATAAATGCTTGTAAGCCTTGAAAATGGCATTTGACTAGTTTCCCATCACCACAAAGCTATAGACCCTTGAAATAATTTTTTGGATTGATAAGACTCGTGTAAAACGGACATCCGAATCAAAAGTTATGACCTTTAAAAAAAAAGGGCTGGTGTGTTTTGGTCTTCATTAGCTTTCTAAGCCCAAAAATATTTGTCGACAAGACCCGTAGTCGAGTAAAGTCACCACCTAGCTATCGGAGAGAACTAGAAACCCTAAAACAAACTAATTTGCATAAATATTTAGGTAAGGGATCGATTAAGTATGAAAAAGATTAACACCATCACCATGAGATAGGTTGCATTGTATGCATGTACAAACTAAAGTATGGTCTTACTATGCTATGATTTTATGTCTAGTAATTTAGGATTTAGGTTGGTCAAAGAAATATACCCATATTCTAAAGATAAAAGGAAATAGAGATTGAAATTTTATCTTATCTCTAGTAACTCGTAAACTTGTATTGATAAATAGATGGGTCCGTAGGAATTAAGAACCCATATTGATATAATTAAGGAGTCGCTGGTGACTTCGTCCATACAAATGAAAAGCCAACGACAATTTTAGTTCCCACAATTAGAGAGGTGGGGAGGGTCACCGAGTAACTTCATCCTAACGAGTGAGAAGTCATCGATAACTTTAATTCACAAAAACAAAATGATTCAAATAAAATAAAAGTGGCAAGTCCTTTGCTACTGCAGTTTACATAAAAAATTATTCAAATAAAATAAAAATAGCAAGTCCCTTATGACGACGACCCATATTAGAAATCATTCACATAAAATAAAAACAACGAGTCTCATAGGATTGTAGCCTATAGAAAAAATCATTCAAATAAAATAAAAATGATGAGTCACTATAGTCGATATCATAAATCATTTAAATAAAATAAAAATAACAAGTCCTTTGTGACTCGTAGCCTATATAAAAAATCATTAACATAAAATAAAAATAGCGAGTCCCTTGCTCCCGCAATCCATATCGAAATTATTCACATAAAATAAAAAAGACAAGTCTTTTATGATTATGGCTTATATCGAAATAATTTAAATAAAATAAAAATAATGAGTCTCTTATGACTCGAAACCCATATAAGAAATCACTCATATAAAATAAAAATGCTGAATTACTTGTGATCGTAACCAATATTATAAATCATTCAAATAAAATAAAAATGACAAGTTCTTTAATTGCAATCCATATTAGAAATCATTCACGTAAAATAAAAATGATAACTCTCTTGTGACTCCATTCCATATCGAAATCAATCAAATAAAATAAAAATGATGAATCCATTGCGATTACAACCCATATAAAAAATCATTTAAATAAAATAAAAATGATGAATTTCTTGTGATCGTAGTCCATATCGAAATCATTCACATAAAATAATGAGTCTCTTGTGACTTAATGAGTGCATAATTTGCATAATTTTTATGCTTTTTTACATTAAAATTTTTTATAGTTTTTATATTATATTTAGAAAATTAAGATCAAGATAATGATTTTGGATTTTATAGGAAGAACGACAAATTGAAGCAAAGAAACCCAAACCAAAGTAAGGAGAAGCCAAGGCCACCAAGTAAGCTTAAAGAGACATACGGTCATGTGAATTATAATAAGAAATAGCTATCGGCTATGTGACATAAAGGAGAAAACCGTGTGGTTATTCGGTAAAAAAACCACACGAGCAATAACATTTCACATGACGAGAGCAAGAAAAGTGATACGCTCGTACGTATGTCAAGGTTAAGATATCTTTTAAGAGGAAAGAAATAGCACATGAGCAGTAGCAATTCATATGACATGGATTGAAGAAGAGACACCCGTTGTATGTCAAAGAGAGAAGTAAACCTAAGAATGAAGCAATAAAGGCACAAGGACAAAAGCTAGGGACATGAGATGAGGCAAAAGGAGACATGAGATGGAGTGTAAATGGCACACGGTCGTGTGCCTCTATCTAGTAAACCGTGCAACACCAACTTTCTAAAGCTCTAGACTATGTAAGATAAAAGAGCAAGTTATGTAACTTTATCAAATAATCCGTGTGGCTAGGTGGGACCGATATGGATTGAAGAAGAGACACCCCTTGTATGAAAAAAAGAGAAGTAATCCAAAGAATGAAGCAACAAAGGCACACGAAAAAAAGCTAAGGACATAAGATGAAGCAAAAGGAGACATAAGATAGAGTGCAAGTGGCACACGACCGTATGCTTCTTCATATGACATAGATTGAAGAAGAGACACCTTTTGTATGTCAAAGAGAGAAGTAATCCAAAGAATGAAGCAACAAAGGCACACGGACAAAAGCTAAGGACATGAGATGGAGTGCAAGTGGCACACGACCATGTGCCTCTATCTAGTACACCATGCAACACCAACTCTCTAAAGCTCTAGACCATGTGAGATAAAAGAGTAAGTAATTGTATCTTTATCAAATAACTCGTGTGGCTAGGTGGGACTGATATCTATGTATTGTAACCTTACTTTTAGCTATAAATAGTGAGGCTAAGGTTTTATTAAAAAAACTCTCTTTTTGGCGGCCACCCTAGATAGAAAATTCTCTCTTATAATCAGTTATAAGTCACTAAGAATCTATTTTGGTTGAAGGAAACTTGAAGCTTTTGGTAAAATCATTATGAGATCTTAATGAGTTCTAATTCTAAATTTGTTCTTTTTTAGTATTTTATGTTTTTTTTTATGTTATTTGAATATGATTGTGTGATTAATTGATTAAAGTGCATGTTAGTTACTTAATCATTATAATTTATTGCTAGCAAAATAATCAAATCCGTGTAACTCGTTTGTCTAAAATTTCCTATGGTAGTAACTAGGGCTAATAATTATAATGTATTTTCATTTAATCCCTTGAAAAATGTAGAACTAGATTAAATTCTTTTAGCATTTAAAAGGATTGTTTAGCTTTAATCGTCTTTCTCTAATTTAATACTATTGTTAGATTAAATCTAGTTAGCGTCTATTAGGTTATTTAAAAGTTAGGAATTAATCAAATAGCGTTTATTTGGCTAATGAATCATTAAGGAAAAAATGAGGACAACATACATGTTGCTGTATCTATGGTAAATATTCATGTTAAGAATAGGTTAATATGTAAATCAATAATTAGAGATTAAGCCTAAAATGGATACCAATCTTCAACCAAGGCTCTCCTCGTTATTGTTATTTCTCTTTACTTTTGATTACTTTACAAATTTTTACAAACATAAAACCCCCCATTTTACTTCCATTGCACCTCGGAACATTTGACTGATAGAAACCATTAATTAGACCACTTCCATGTTGATTTGACCTTTACTTGTTCTATTTATACTTTTGTGGTTGGGTTTCGTAAAGAATATAAATATAACTAATTTATTAGTGGTATGACATGTCATCAAATTTTGGCATCGTTATTAGGGAGTTGTGTTCAAATTGCTTATTTTTTTTATATTCCGACTATTCTTATTGTTTATATTCGATTGGTATATGACTAAGTCTTAAACAAGTGACCTAATTTTCAACCTCGAACCGGAAAATGCATTAAAAAAGTTGAGGAGAGAAGCAAGACAAGCTTTAATAGAGAGGATTGAAATAACCTAGAGAGTAGTTTCAGCCTTCATCGAGCATAACTACGGCTTTTGAGTTTTTGTCATCAAATAACTCAAAAGGAAAGGTGATGGCTACGAATAAAACTTTGAAGGAGCTAGTTGCTTTTGATCTTAATCAGCAACCCTTATGTATAAGGGTTTAATCTAGAAGTGGCTTTTGAGTTGAAGTCGGGATCGATACACTTGCTATCGAAATTTCATGTCCTTACTAGAGAAGACCCCCATAAACACTTGCTACCTAATTTGAAGGAGCTAGTGTTGTGAACATTGATATTAGAATCGTGCAAGGTATCGTTATTACTACGAGTGATTAAGTTGGTTGTAGGATTAATATTCTTTTTGTTGGTCTTAGAAGGGGCCACTTATTTTTTCACAATCACAAACTCCTTAATGAAGTTGTCAAATTGCGTACGTGTGTGGGGGATGAGGGTATTTGAAAATCGATCTAACGACTAGTTAATAGACTAGTAGAAGTAGAATAGATGAAATTAATGAGAGATGCGAGGATAAGCAAATAGTGCTAGCAAGATGCAAGTTATATGGTAGATATATGGATGATAAATGGAGTTTCAAGTGATGTTTGGTGTAAGAATGAGAGAACTTTAAGAGAATAGATAGAGAGTTCAGAGATTTTCCTAAAGATAAAAAATTTGAAATCCCCTCAAAATTGTTATTAGATTGATATTTGTAACGAAATGAAGACGACATTTGACTATTAAGATCTCGTTATGTCATCCATATTTAGAAGGTCGATTTGAGTCGTAAAGGCAATATTTACTTGGGCTAAACTCGCTTTAAATTACTAATAAAGATTAAGAAGTAACAATCGAGCATTCTTTTAGTGGAATTTATTTCGAATATACTAAATCAATCTTTTTAATGGATTTCAAAGACAAGGCATGGACACCGAGAATGGATCAAGGTAGGCCACCTTCAAGCAATACTCGGTGAGTTAGCACTTGCTAACTTAAGAGTTTTGACAATTGTTATTATTCTCACTATTAGGCAAGCTAGTGTTGTCAACATTGATATTAGGATCATGCAAGGTATTGTTATTATTACAAGCGGTTGAGTTAGTTGTAGGATTAATATTCTTTTTGTTAGTCTTGAAAGGGGCCCTTATTTTTTCGTAATCATAAACTCCTTAATAGAGTTGTCAAATTGTGTGAGGGATCTTTGAAAACTAATCAAACGACTAGTAAACATACTAATCAAAGTAGAATGGATTAAATTAGTGAGAGGATGAGAGGAGCAAATAGTCCTAGCAAGATACAAGGTATGTGGTAGATGTGTGGATGATCAAAGTTTAAACATATGGAGTTTTAGGTGATATTTGGTGTGAGAGTGAGAGAACTTTAAAAGGATAGATAACTCAAGAATTTTGCTAAAGATAAAAAAAAAAAATTGAAATTCCCTCGCAATTGATGTAAGATTGGTATTTGTAACAAAATGAAGGTGACATTTGACTCGCTAAGATCTTGCCATGTCATTTATATTTAGACGGTCAAATTTGAGCTATAAGGACAATATTCTTTTGGGCTAAACTCGCTTCAAATTACTTGGAAAGACTAGAAAGTAACCATCATGCTTTCTTTTAGTGGACTTTACTCCGAATCTACTAAATTAATTTTTTTTTAATGCATTGCAAAGAAAAGGCATGGACAATGATTTTACCAAGATATCTCGTTTCCATCCTTGGATGAATAAAAAATTTATGTTGAATGATCGAGATTCATTTTTAATTCCTTCTATTTAGATAATAAAATTAGATAAATTACTTAATTAATTTTTTTTTAAAAATCGAGCATACCACATGCATATGGTATTGAACGATACAAATATTAATATTTAATTTTTTTGTACAATATTAATTGAGAGTTATAAGTGCAAGATGAAGATGAAGTTCGTTCATGAACAAATTCAAGAGAGAAAAGTATTTAAAAAAAAAAAAATAAGAATACTGCAAAGAGAGGAAAGTAGGGAGCAAAACCAAGTGATTTTAAATTAAATAATGAAATTGCAATTGCAAATATACCTAGAAATGAAATTCGATCATATAAATCGAGGTTTTTAGTCTCTCTGTTTGTGTGTGTGGTTGATATTGAATTGCCATTTACTAATGTGCAAGTGTTCCATCCAAATGCCATGAGAAATTTTAAAAAGTTCCGTATTAGGGATTGTTCATATAGTTGTAGCCATTTGGCTAATTCTTACATAGTCTCTTGATATTCTGCTTTGATTTATTGAACATGAATTAATTTTTCTATTGGTTCTCCTCTTCGAGGAACCCTACTTTCAAAAAGATGCCTCTCTCCGATTCTTAGAGGTGATTTTAATCCTATAGTGGGGTTAGTATTTGTGCGAAAGCCCAATGCCAAGCATGGGCTTGCGTTAGGATCAGAAAGAAAGAGAACCATGCATGGTTAGGCCTAAGGTTTTCTGAGGCCTCAAATGAAGCAGCTAAGGAAGCACCTAGAATAGAAGTGGCACCCTCCAGCGATGAGGAATTGGGTGGAGATTGCAGAGCCATGGTCACGCCTGTGGAAGAGCAAAACACACTGCCAAAGATATTAATACTCCTTCCTATAGAAAAGGGCACAATAAATAATAATTACCTGGGCTATTTCTTGCTGGTAAGACTTTAAGAGCCATTCATCTATATGTACAAGTCATTCTGTTTTCAAATATAAGAGGATGATGGATAGCATAATTCAAAATTTTTCATATGAAATGTCACTTACCCTCTGTAGTTAAGCGGGAAAAAAGCCCATTTCTACTAAAGCACATGTTCTTGTCTAATTGAAGTTTATTTTTGTTATCTTATGAGTTTAGCTCTTATAACTAAAGAATTTCTCAAACAGTTCTTGAGTCTCGAGACAACCATAATGATTATGAATTCTTATGCTAACATTCATGACAATGAACATAAAAGCCACGTTAACATAATACTATAATACGTGTCAATAGGAATTAAATGATAAATTAAGTCAAGGATGCCAAATTTAATCCGGCCAATGACAGTAAAGGAACTTCATGATATATATCAGAAGAGCAGACATGGAAGCAACTCCTGTGATGATGAAGAGGCCTCCGAAGTTAGATAACCTAAGGCCAACGGAAGGGTTCTTGGAAGCTTGATCTAAACAAGTGGTTTCCCCGCCAAAGTTCCTCCGTTCAATTGCTTTTGGATGGTAATAGGCGAAATACAATGTAGAGATATTGGCAAGTGAATCAATGACATCTGTTTTGACAAAATAACAAATGACAGATAAGAATTTGGTAAAACGAACAAATAGCTTAGTTGTAAGATTGGACATGCGACAAGAAAATAAATTTGTCATGTGTTAGAACTGGAATCAGATAAAAACAATTTTCAACAAATTTAAGTTTTTAATAATTAGAATTAGTGGTATTTAGTTAATTTCTAGCTTAGATTTTATTACTTTTCCTTTCCATATGTGATCGAAATAAACTTACTTACAATGGTGTGCGCTATTTATCATCGACAGCACCAACAATTGGCACGCCTTCAGCACGAAACCTTAAGGTGGGATCACACAGAAGAAATGTGACCATAAATGAGGCCTCATCAAAGAATGATGTTGTAGGCATGGATGTTGCTATTAATGAAAACGATGGACAACGTGCCACTAGTCACAATGACGTTCGTGATGGCGAACCCATGACTCAAATTACGGTAGATTTGAAGGCCATTATTGAAAAACTTGTTGATAGGATGGATTCTACCGATCTAGAATTGAAACAAGCAGTTGTTCAAGTAAACAATGAAGCTGTTGTGCAGATTAAAGTGCCGACCATATACGAACGCTACTCACCTATTTCGCGGAAGTTAAGATGCCACCAATGCAAACATTAATTTCTCCAAGCAGGTGTAAGAGCAAATGGTCTAGGTATTTAATTCTATTGGAAACCACTAATTCAGTTTTTAGTGTTTCTCTATTAGTATTAAGTAGTACTCGTGCTTCCAAAAAAAAAAATCCGCCTGTTTGAGGAGAGATCAACGAGGTAAACTGATAATGAAGTTCTTGTGACCACCACATTGGACCAAAACACCATGTTAAATCCACCTTTAGAATATCCTTTCTGCAAAACTAGTACAGTTCTTAGGGATAGTGGCGTTGGGATTGGTATACGGAATGAAAATTTTGCTCTAAAAATTAGGAATCGAAGGCCAAATCCACCTGTTTTTTCAAGTAAATTAAGCATTCGCTCATCAATTCTAACGAACAACTTTTGAGCATTCGGACCATATAATGTGGTGATGTAGATGATTTTATTTAACTTCGTTTAGTAATTCTCTAATTAAAATGACATATTATTGATATATGAATTTGCCACAAAATTCGATTCTAAATTGACAGCAATTAGAATTCATTTCCTTCTCAATTTTTTTTTTTTTCAAATTAAGACTAATGTAAGTATCTTTGAACTTGCTAGATTATCACAATTGCCGGTTGAATCTGCTCAGCAATTTATTAACAGATTTAAGAAGGCAAGAACTAAGTGCTACACACCTTTGCTGGATAAAGAATTAGTTCGGCTAGTTAGAGATGTTCTACCTCTAAAGTTAAGAAAGAAATTTGAAGATCAAGAATTTGCTGACCTTAATCAACTGGCAACATGTACCACACAATACGTGCAATTATCAATTGAAAAGGACCAAACGAAAAAATCATCTAAAGGGACTTATTACTAACACCCTAATCACAATATTTATCAACATGATTGTATTTTTAAAGACGAATGCTATGAGATAGGAATCTAGACGTTGGGCACCTAAAAGTCTTACATTTGTAAAACTTTAGTTAATTTGATTTATTATTGGAAGACAACTAGATTAAATTGTCAACAGGATTGTTATACCTCCTGTTGAACAGTTAAAAGGGAAAAAAAAATATTGCAATTGGCATAATATTGATTCTCATTTTACCAATTTGTACGTTATCTTTAAAAATGCTTTGTAGATGACGATTGAGGCAGGGCAAATTTATGTTTGCAAATCATGAGAACATGGTGATAGAAGACAATATTTTTTCATATCCATTAGAGCATAACATGGTTGATGTGCAAGATAACGACATGCCTACTATTTGATTAATGTAGGCATTGGGGACCAAGATCAGGAATTGGGTATTGGAGATTCAGTCGGTGGCGAGTTTAATTGTTCGATTACATAAAAAGGATATGATTGTGTCACTATTCATTCATATGGAAACGAGCGTTCCAGTCCAAGTAGTTCTATGCCAACAATGTGAAAAATTGCTCACTGCAAAAAGGAAGGGATAAGAGTTGAAAATATGAAGATTTTCCAATTAAAACTACATATATTCCTCATCGCAAACGGGTCAATAAGGATAACAGGGGAAGGAAGGTTTTCTTTTAGAAGAAGGAAGTATCTCTATCTTAGCTAGCTTGACAAAAGAAAAAAAAATTCATCAGAAGTGGATAACTTGCTAGCCTAGCACACCGAGAACAATTAAGCCTCCATTAGTTGATGATAAGAAGTGGCATTGAGCGGGAACAAAAGATTCTCAAATCAGTAAGAATGATTTAAAGATAAAACTCGTGTCTCATGATCTCCGATGCGAATTGAAGCTGAAATCTTTTGAACTAAATAAGAAAACTAGTCAAATATCATGAATGCATTTATGCCCTAAATTATATGAATGTGTGAATGTGTAACCTTTTTAGAGCAGTAGTCTTAGAGGCTATTTATGCATGTAAATTGATAAGGTTGATAGCTAATAAGTCTCTTGTATTTTACTCCCGAATAAGTTGCACTAAATGAGACTTTAGATTCTATACTAGAACTTCTAAACTAATTTTGGATTTGGGCTCTCATCAAAGTTGTAGGCTCGAATGTCTTCTTTTTGTAGGATGAATCATCTCAATCTAATATCTAAAACTCCAAATGTTGTCTAAATACTGATCAATATTTTGAATTGTTACTAGATTTGAATTCTTAATCCAACTTTGCAACCAACTTTGATAGTCCACAACAACTTGGATTTAGGTGTACAAACTCGGATATAAAAAATTTAAGATGTTCACTTCAAATCTCAAGAGGTCTCTTCCATATTTAGGAGCTATAGGGATGTGAAAATCTCATATTCCTCTAAAGGTCATTCATCAAGCATTGTGGAATTTCACCCAAGTTATCATACTTTTGCTCCTTTATGTTAAATCTTCTCCTAAATCACAAAATAAATATTATTCAATACATAAAACCTAAAAACACACTAAATAAACGAAATATAAGAGAATAAAATATAATCAATAATGTCTACTATCAAATTTTTTCACACTTAACTTTTGCATATCATTGGATAAAACACAAAACGTGACTAAAGCCTAATAATATAACTCTTTAATGATATCAAGATTGTAAAATCACGGAGAAAAAAAACAACCAAAACTCTCAAGAATCACGAGCATGTCATGAATCAACATTTTTAACAAACTCAAGAATTAATCAATATAATAACTTTCATTCAAAAAGAAGTAAACTAAATTAGTAGATTCTCATAAGATAAACTCTCCAACTCTCCGGTGTTTATGGTAAGTGTTTTGCTTAAATTTATTCCGTAAGAATATACTACCATAAGCTTGCTAATCATCTAATCTTTACTACTCAAATCACATGTACAATATAAATCAAAAAGACTTTTCCAAGAGTTGTAATGGAGCTAAGAAAAGATGAGGAATTATTTTGATATGATAGTGTAAAACTAAAGAAACTAATAGAGCATTCAAAATATAAACTCTAGTAAATAAAATTATTAGAATCCAAAACGTATCATTTCAAATTTCAAAAGCTTGTTAACTTTCTCATGGTCTTTTTTTTTGTTTTTCTTTCCTTTTTTTTCAAACTTTCTTGATAGAAATATGGACACAATGACATGACAAATTCTTTTTTTCCTCATATAACTTGTGTCATGTTTTCCCTCGAAAAGTTTGTTCTTAAAGTAAAGTTCATGTCATAATTGAAAAGGAATCAACTCCCCATCTTCTTTAAAAAAAAAAAATCAATGAAACGAACTAACCTTCTTCTTCTTCTTCTTTTGTTTCAAATTTCATACCCCTACACTTGTTTAAGAACCCATTTCACTAATAATTTAAATACTCTAATATTCTTAAAGTTACGTAAAGACACTTGTTTTTAGTTTAAAAAATTTATTAATAGGTTACACAATATGAAAGGTCAATTGAGCCCAAAAAGGCTCATTAATGGCAAATTATAGGGTAGGCTTTTTAGACTAAATGGTTTATTCAAAGATGGCCTTAATCATATTTATACATGCACATGTTAATGTAATCTAAAAAAGCATCAAGGCAAGTTCTAGAGAAACCAATTCATGAAAGAATATCACAATAAAAAAATAAATAAAGGTTCACATGAATGTTCGATCTATAAGCTCAAAATCTCATAGACTAAATGTCTATCAAATTTAATCTACTACCATTCTAAAATTGATTACTACACTAATCAATCTCAATTTGCAAGTTAATTTATTCAATCATGTTATGCAACTTTCAAATTTAATTGATTTTTGCTCATGATTTATACAAATCTTGATATCATTTAAAAACATCTAACAATATGCACGCACACACACAATGAAAATATTTTTTTATTTTTTTCTTGAAATTTTTTTCAATCATAAACATAAACAAACATAATTATTAACAAGTCATAGACATAAAAATTAAAAGAGATAGAGTAAGAGTGCAAATTTGGTGATGACATATTAGCCATCTTTGGGTTGTCTTGCGATGAGCACGTTTGTTTGATATCGTTGGCTCGACATTACAACTCTTTTCAATTTAAGTAAATTGGATCTATTCATTGAACTTTTTCTATTGTATGCTCCCGAAAGCCTTCAAAGAATAGCTTGAATTTATGACCATTGACCTCGAAAACCTTGTTATTTTCTAAGTTTTGAATCTTTACTTGCAAGCATAAGAAAACATAACAAGTAATAACGAAGGGTCCTATTCGACAAGAACGTAACATACTAGACATTAACTTAAGTCTCGGATTATGAGGCAAGACTTTTTATACAACCACAAACTATTTCTTAGAAATCATCTTGTCATGAAAAGCTTTGGTTTTCTCCTTGTATATTTGCGAGTTCTCATAGGCTTTAAGTCAAATCTTTTCGAATTTTTGTAACTATAGCTTATTTTGATGACTAACTTTATCCAAATCCAAATTGCAATTCCTAACTACCTAACGGGCTTTGTGTTTAAACTCCACATAAAGGTGACATGATTTATAGAAGACCAACCTATAAGGAGACATTTCAATTGATGTCTTGTATGTCGTTCTATAGGCCTTTAGTACATCATCAAGTCTAAGGCTCTTATATTTTCTATTCGAGCTTTACTATTTTCTCTAAGATGGATTTGACTTCTTTATTGAAAACCTCAACTTATCCATTAGTTCGAGGGTGCTAATATGTAGATGTTTTGTGAAAAACAAAATATTTCCTCGACAAGGATTCCACAACTTAATTATGAAAAAGGATCCATTGATCACGAATGGATGTGATTGGTGTTCCAAACCTACTAAAAATGTTAGACTTGATTTGAATCATCAATTTTGTTGACTTTTGCTTCCACCCATTTCGAGACATAATCAACAACAACTATAATATAAACAAAACCAAATAATGAAGGAAATATACCAATAAAATCAATACTCAATGCATCAAAAATCTCACAAACAAGTGTAGGGGTTGAATCATTTTATTCTTATAGAGTTAAACTTTATGTCCTTTGACATTATTCATAACTTTTACAAAACATATAAGAGTTATGAAATAAGATACGTCAATAAAAACCACATTCTAACACTTTTCTAGCTATTCTCTTTGGTCCAAAATGACCTTCACAAGGATAAGCATGACAAAAAATAAGGACAAGTTGAATTGTAGAGTTAGGTACACATCTCTTAGTATCCGATTTGAACAATACTTTCATATATTATTGTTTTTGTTATTATTGAATTGGGTGTGAAAATTATAAAAAGTCAATTGTTTTTTTTTACACAAGTTGACGATTATGAAATACATACAACATATTTTTAGATATTATAATGAATATATATATATATATATATATATATATGAGATTATATTACTTTTACTTGTTCAAAATTAATCACTTCAATTTGCCATTTCTTATAAAAATTATTATCAAATTAATTTTTTATTCTTCTTTTTATGTAATTTATTTATTAATAAATATAATTTATTTTTTCTATGTATGGATTTTTGAATAAATTTTTTTTTATGCTTATTCTTTACATAATCAAATTTTATCAAAATTAATTTTGTAATTTTTTATTGCATTCTATTAACTTTAATATTTTTTTTACAATTTAAAGTTTTTAAAAAATATTTTTTGGTTTATACTACGCACTTTGATCCAATAAGGGCATTCATGATGTATAAAAAAAGTATTAAAATTATTGACTTTATTAAAAATTAACTATACATCCGTACGCATAATACCAACTATTTGCTATTATTTTCTTAATATTTCAAAATTAATTTCTTTCAAATAAAATGATTGAAATACTATCTTAGAAGAACTTGCCTAATAATTCAAATATAATTTTTTTATAGAAATATTATTTATTATTTTGTAAATAAATATATATAAATCAAATTTTCATATTTAAAAAAAAATATTTTTCTCATCATTGTTAAACAAGAATAAAAAATATTCATTTGTTAATTTTTATATAAGTTTTTATATTAATTTTTGCCTTATTTCTTCTATGTAATGTTATAAAAAAAATATAAAAATATATATTTTTTAATTTTATATTTAGATTATTATGGATTTTTATTTAAGAATAAATATATAAGAAAGAACAAATTGTTTTTTTTTTAACTATAAAATTTATAAAAAACATAAAAAAATTAGAAACAAAATTTTAATTAAAAATTATAAAACTAAATAAAATTTTATTTTTTATTTTTAATTTAGTATATTTTAGTTGATCGAGTTTGGTTGGTAGCATAGTGCAAAAAGCCCATTAATATAGCTGAAATTTTATAGTACATAGACATACGTTGATTTTTTTTTGTCTTAAACAAAATTAATGTCATAAACTGATTTTCAGCTTAACAATAACTTTTGACAAACCAATTTTGGGCTCACGACAATTTCAATAAAAACAATTTTGCCGACCACACAGCAAACCCATTAAAGTGAAAAAGAACGGGGCCTTTAAATCTCACGGGCTAAAACACACCATGTGGCTAATCAATAAGATTTTGAGTTCATAACAAAAAGAAAAATTTCTCGCTTGTCAACCAAGAAAATGGGTTGACAGACTCAGGACTCAGGGTGCCATTTACTGCCTTTAGATGCGTTCCAATCTAATCATATCCAGCGAATCAAAATGGTCCAACCATATCCACGAAAATGCAAACAAACAAACTTCCAACCAATGAGCGCCATCTCATCAAAAAAGAGCAATCGCACGCTATATTACAAAGACCCGAGCACACAAGATTGAACCTTTTTAAAAAACTTAAGCGGCCCAAGACCAAAGTCCAAACAAGTCCAGTAATTCAATTTTCAAAAAATTTGCCCACCACTCCCCTTTTCCAGATCCATCACCCAGACAGAGACAACCACTTTCACTGTATATACTCTCTCCTTCCTTCCTCCTCACCCTCATCCTCCTATAACTAATTCTCTCTCTCTCAAGCTATCGACGACAATGCCAACTTCTGATACTGACTTCGATCTCAGCGTACGATCTCTCTCTTTCTCTCTCATTTTCACTCACTTCCTCTCTGTATCTCTTTAACTCTGTCTCTCTTTCAGGCGTCTCCCGCTTCTGCGTACTCAATCGGGTAAGTTTGCTTTAATTTCTAGGGTTTCTTATCGATTTCAAAATGCAGACATTTGCTGATTTTGATTGTGCAGAGAGTATACATTTGCTGATGTCAATAACTTGGAGCATTGTGCAAAGTACTTGAATCAGACTCTTGTTACCTTTGGTTTCCCTGCCTCTCTTGATCTTTTCGCTACTGATCCGGTGAGTTTTGCTCCCGTTGTTTTTATTCTTTTTTGACATTTTGTTTTTTTGTTTTTTGTTTTTGTGATTTTTGTGAAATTGTTGTGATAAGGTTTCAATCGCGCGGACCTGCAATTGCTTTTACTCTTTGCTTCAACAAAGACAGCGCGATATTGAGTTTAGAGAATCTGCTACTGAGCAAAGACAGAGGTAGAAATTTTTAAGTGAAATGCAATATTAGCACTTAATTAAGTTACTTTTGAGTCTTATGTGTAAATTTTATGTGGATTTGATTTTCTCTGAATGTGGACGGGTTACATTCAGCATTCAACTAGAATGTGTGATTGTTTGATTTGATTTTAGTTTTCAGTGTTGGTATGATTATTTGGATGCTTAAATATATCTTTTTTCTATCTTGTAGACTGCTATCAGATATATCAAGGTTGGAAGCTAAGGTTGAGAGGCTTGAGTCTCAGTTACAAGCCAAAGATAGGGAGATAGCGACCATTACTCGAACGGTTAGGGAATTTTTAGTTTTGTGACTTGAAATTATGCTAAGTAAGAAAGATTGATCAGTTTGTGATACTTTTATTGCTGCTGTATATATGAATAGGAAGCCAAAGCCACAGCAGCTTTTAAGGCCCAAATTGAAAAACTTCAACAAGAACGAGATGAATTTCAAAGGATGGTTATTGGTAATCAGGTGAGGGCACCTCAGACTCACTTTTATGTTTTTTTTTCCCCTTGCTTACTAGTAGTGGAAAATGTACTGATCTTGACAAGTGGCGGTTATGTGATGAATTGTTACTGCTATAGCAAGTGAGGACTCAACAAATACATGAGATGAAGAAAAAAGAAAAGGAGTACATAAAGTTGCAGGTAGTATCTCTTTTGCAAATAGTATCGCTATGGGGTTCATAAGCACACATGATACCAACTACAAAAATGCTAATCCTCTTAAACTTATTTTCAGGAGAGGCTAAACCAAGTGCTAATGGAGAAAAAGAAGGAATCACGTTCAGGCATGGAGATAATGAATTTGCTTCAGGTACTAATAAAATCAGTATGGCATTTCATTCTGATACAATTTTGTGCTTCTTCTTCTGGTGTAAAGATGATTTTGCCTATGTGATTGATTTTATGATTTCTCTAAACAGAAAGAAGGGCGGCAGCGTGGGACATGGAATGGAAAGAAGGCTGATAATGATTTCTACAAGAAAATTGTATGTGTGTTGATTGACTTCTTTGACAATTATATTGTTGAGATATATTTGACAGCATGCTATTGGCAGGTGGATGCTTGTGAGGCTAAAAATCAAGAGTTAATGGCAGAGAATAATGATTTAAGGGCATTGTTGCGGTCAATGCAGGTAGATGTTCATTATTCTGCAACTGTTGTTGTGCATGCTATTTTTGTTATTCCACTAGTTTCAACCTTGTTTTGGTGTAGAGTGAGTTAGAGCATAGTAATATTATATTATTAGGCCATAACATTTCTTTACAGATGGGCTGGTATATTTGGTTTGTATAGTAGTAACATATCAAAGTAGTGTCTAAGATGTAAGTTCTCTCTCCTTTTTTTTTCATTTCCCAAATCTTTTCTGCATGATTAGGCCTAATCCTTTGTTTGTAGAGCAGAAATTTCAAGTACTAGAATCTATGATCAAAGGTGCAATATATGAAGTTTATTTCACTCCATAAATCAGCTTGCCCTTGGGTCACTTATTTCAGCAGCATAAAGATACAGAAAAGGACTTGCTTCATAAATGAATACATAAACAATATAAAAGATTTTAGACATAACTTTAAATGGCTTCACTAGGTTGGATAATTAAATCTTCTGTTATTGGTGGTTTTGTTCTAAAATCATTGATTTTTGCTCTTGTGGCAACAGATTCTAACCTCAGCTAGCATGCTTGGTTATAGGTTGATATGCGTGATTTCTTCAATGCTCCAAATGGGTCATCCAAGCAATCTCCGCCTGTCAATGAAAGACTTGTAACAGACCCCTCACAATCTCCCTTGGGTGGGAGGACGGTATGGGAACTCCTTAAAGGATGCTTTTGTGTTTATTCTCAATGGGTTGAATGTTGTCTGTTATCATTAAGTGCTCTCCAATTTACAGGACGTCTTTGACTTGCCTTTTCACATGGCTAGAGATCAAATTGAAGAAAGTCTCCGAACCAAGATGGCTTCCATAAAGGTATTTTCATTTACAACTCTACTTTGCTTGGAGCATTGACCAACTACTCTGACAACATACAAAAATATTAATTCCAGATAAATCACAAAATTTGAGTTACTTGGATCTGAACTATGCGAGCAAAACTTATTGTTAGATGCATAAAGTAGTACCTTTAGGAGTTGATCCATAATCCTGGCCATATAAAATTGTTCACAAGTTTATGCCTTTGTAAATTTGAAGGGGCGAATGGTTCAACTACAAGATGCACAGAAAGGATCAGAAGTTACTTCTGAAGCAACTGAGAGAGAACTTGAGCTTGAAGCTCAACTAGTTGAGGCAAGGAGCATAATCCAGGAGCAGGTATTTGCCATTGTTCAAACTTCAAATCATAAATTATACCCAAGGCATTCTAGTTCAGTTGCCATTCAGGTTAGATGATTTATTAGACAATTGATTTGCCGTTCCTTTTTGTTTATTATTTAAAAATTTGATGTTTGTACTATACAAGAATCAGATTTGAGTTTAAAGCAACTTATTGACTAGCAAGCTTTCTGGATGCAGAGGCTGTGTTTGTTCTTTTTGTTGCAGCCTTCCTTTTTGGACTTATTTATTCAAATAGATTCTATTGCATTTTCTCTAAACATTTTTCATCTAGGTTTTCTTGCTTTTTTGAAAGTTGTTTTGATGACTGGTCTCTCCAATTTTGTTATGTAGATACTGTTTTTTTTTTTTTTTTTTTTTTTGGGAGGCAAATCACATTTTCAACATTTTTTTTATCTTTTCAATTTTAACATAGTATCCTTACACTTAAAATACCTAAAATTATTGTTATCCTTCCATTTTGTTATTATTTCTTGTGCAATGATATTAGGAATTTAATTATGGATTTTGTTTCAGGCATCTATAATGTCTAAACATCTTGCTAAGTCGGAGAGGCCAAGGTATTCTGCTTGCTTGCTCTTGTTCTGTGGAGCACAGTGTATTTTATTATATGCAACTTTGCAGGAGACTAATGGACTTATAATTTTGACAGGGAATCTATCATCTCTTCACAAGTTGAGGTATACATCTTTATTGAGGGTTTGACTTGTTTACCACTAGCCTGATGGATTTTGAAATTTAATTGCCATCTTGCTTGATCTTCATGTGATCAGCCTGAAAAAAGTTGTGCTTTGTGGTTACTTGCCAGAGTTAGATACTTCATGGTCAAAAATTAGCTTTTCTAATTGTGAGAATTGTGGTCCAATGCTGGAGGTGTTTGTGTTTGGGTGTTGAAAGATAATTTAGTGTAACATGGAACTCTGCTTGGATTATTAACCTACTTTGCCTATGTATGACATTGTCACCTTCTGGCAAATCAGAAAATTTGAGAAACTTGAATTCTAATTATGTTATCAACCTGAGCTTTAGATTCCTAAATGGTGTCTTTAGGAGTTGATACATAATTATGGGTTAATATGGAAGTATGGTTGGAATATTACCCATCTGGTCTGGCCTGCTTTTGAAAATGTTGACAATCTTCTGTCTAATCTCTAATCCAGAAAGCAATTTCTAAATGTTAATGATGTTATAATTTTTAACTATTATTTTGCATTATATGGATCAAAACTAATAGGAAATTTAGTTGTTCTGTTGTCAAACATTTTATTTATTCCCATGATGGAGGGTTAGGAGATGGAGTTAGTGTAGTTAGATTAGTTACATCTGCTTTTGCTATGTTGCATTTAGTAAGATTCTTTTGTCGCAATGTGCATAAAAAGCTATACATTGGTTGGTGGTGTCATTGTCTCCCTCCTTGATTTTCAGGGAGTACGAGATCAACGTGGTTGATAATACTGTCTCCATTTTTGGCATCAAGAGCGATTCAGTTGGCTGAATACAAGGTGAAGGGGCTCAGCAAGTATGTAAACCTTTGTGTACTTCCCTAACCAGAATATCCAGTATGGGTGTTCTGTTTGTTGTAAAACCTTGAGAGCATAGTTAGTTGTTAGCTGTATTGTTAATGTAATTAGTGTCTTGCATGTGCTTATTTATGTATACATACAGTTGTTCCTAGTGCAATTTCATCCATACATCCTGGTAAGAATCACCTTTATGGTCCTGCAAATCGTCCTTTTGATGTGGTTCCCCATCCAACATTATCTTGCTTCTGCGTTTAGTTTTTAGAGCTCACATTTTAGTTATTTTTTGTTGGTTTTTGCTTGTAACTCCAACTACATAACTTAAAGGTTCAAGTGCCGGTTCCCTCTTGGAGTTGTGTTCAGGACAGCTACTACTTCCAACCAGTCAACCAGATACCAGAATCCACCGTATAAGCAGGTTGGCTCCACTCGCCTGCGGTATTGAAGGCCGAGGTTGGAAAGGTTTGACAGTATTGATTTCAGGCAGCATTTTTATGACTGAATTATCAATGTGCTGATTTGATGTTGGACGTGTGAGCTTATTCCTCGGACGTTTTTACGAAAGCAGTATTTTTCTGCACATCTTTCTCATTTTTTTTTTATTTGGTTGAGCTTTCCCTGTTTCTGATGAAACCTTTCTTCCTAGATGTTGATAGTTATCTTTCTCGTTAAAATACCTTCATGGTGAGGCTTCCGTTAAACGGTTCTTTAACTCGGTGGTAATTAAGTCAATTAAGTCTAGTAGTTAAGGAAATTTGCTTCTTTTAATTTTCTGAGTTCGAACATTGGTACTAGCATTGGGATAATTATACTGTTGGTATATTAATTTTTATTTTTTTTTCAATCGAGTATATGAATTTTAATTTTTTTTGTTTAAGTATATTAATTTTTTTCAAAATGATCATTTAAATATTTTTATTAGTTTCTTCATTGAACGATGACGTATTTAAATATGAAATTATAATATTTTTTTTATTATTGAAAAAAACTTTCTCCTCAAATTATTTTACTATTTTATAATTTGATAAATAATTCAAAAAAATTATTTTTTATCTTTAAAATTTCAAATTAGACTCAGTTAGATTGTTAAAAAAAATTCAGTTAGGTTTAAAAATAAAAAGTTAAGAAAAATACAAATGAATTTTTTTTTTATGATTGAATAAATTTTTTTTCTCAATTATTGTTTGAACGTTTTTTTTTTCACATCTAAAACCTAATTGATTTTTTTTATTTTTAATAGCAAGTTTTACTAAGTTTAGTTTGAGATTTTATAATTAAAAATAATATTTTTTAATTCTTCATCAAATTTTAAAATGATAGAATAATTTAAGGAGAAAGATCTTTATACCAAAAGATTTTTTTGAAAAAAATAGGTATTTGGAGATATCATTAATTAAAGAAGAAATTGACAAAAACATTTGATTGATAGTTTTGAAAAAATTGATGTATTTCATTGAAAAAAAAAGATAAAATTATAATTTGGTATTTTGAGGATAATAAAAACGTTATGAGTTAACGGAAAAAGTGATGGAATTACTTAATTGATAATTTTAAAAAAATTAATATATTTAAATGAAAATAATTAAAGTTTATATATTTTATTGAGTAAAGATTGAAAGTTGATATATTTATATTGTAATTATTCCATTGATATTCTTTAGAATTTATTTCCATCAGTTACTAGGCTGAAGACCAGCGAGTGTGTCTTCGAGATTTTCTAAAGTTATCTTTGACCACTGATAAAAAAAACTTTAGAGTTAATTTTTATATTTATTTATTTATTTATTTTTAACTCACACATTCAAAGCTCTTGATAAAATTAATCTGTTAAGATTTAAACCCATGACTTCTTTATTACAAGAGACTATTATCATTGAGCTATAAGCTTTTTGGTTTGAAATTAATTTTTACAATGTCATTTTCTGAGCTGTTTCATTTTTATATTAAAAATTGCACTTTGAAACATAGAATAAAATTTGAAATGCCACCATTCCCTCCCCCACCTGAAAAAAAAAAAATATTAATAATAATTTTGAAAAATCCCATTTTTTTATTCAAACTCATTAAAAAAAAACTTGAAAATTTAGAAAATTGAAAGTACTTGAAATATACTACATGCCTACGGCATAAGCTAGAAAATAAACTGGTGTATTGAATCTGGCTAATGGTGGCAATCTCAATAAGCATAACGGATGGAGCAAAGCTTACATGAAAGCAGCAAGAGCATTAAAAAAACATGTTAGATGTTGTTCTGAATGCAGGGAAGCCTCAAGAGCATTAAAAAAACAGGTTAAATATTGTTTTGAATGCGGGAAGGTATATAGATTAGAGGCTTCCGTTTTCCCGTAAGCATTAATTTGTAGGATATTATCAGGTTTAAATAAACCAAAGCAGGCTTCTCTGGCGACAAAAACACAACATGTCAATAAAGTAAGCAAGACTTCGTCTGTCTCAAATAGATTGTACCCTTTTCTAATTATCTTAAATTCTTAATCTTAAACCTTGAAATTATCTAGTCTTGACAGATTGGAGGTTTTATCTTTTTTAGAACTTCAAAGACAGCTTCAAAGCACTCAACAGCCTCTTACAGGGTGGCTTTTTTTTTTTTGAATGAGAAAAATTGTTAATACGAATTAGAGGTGCATTAAAAGGCTAAATACACAACGGTTATACCGAAGACATTTTTAAACCTTATCACTTCAATGAAAATTCCCTGTCGTCCTCAATCTCAAGCCAACTTCTTTCCAGATGCTGGATGACAACGAGAAGACCAATGACATCTCATAAAAAATTATACGCTTGTCAAAATCATATAAGATAAATAGTTGTATGGAGTAGTTCAGTAAGGATGCTGTAAAATGGTGAGAAAAAAAAATTCATAAAATAAAAGGTTTTACATCTCCTGAATGTTTTGGAGGAGGCTGTCAAAATCCGGGAGATGGAAACTACGTTTCTGATTAACTGGCTCGACAACGTCCAACTTATCTATCAAGTGCCTCATGGGTAATAAAAACACTTTGAATTATGCTCTGAAAGGTTAGAAGTGACTGATTTCAAAGATGTTTCAAATTTCTTCAAGCCTGTCTAAAAAAGTAAAAAGAAAAAAGAAAAAGAACTTATTATTATTGCCTCTTAATCAAATAAGACACGACTGGTTACGTTGCTCTTCTCTATCTACGCACGCATGCCTTGTATTAGCACCATCTTCATTCTCCGCCTCTTGAAATCATGGATCATGCATCATGCATGCTTGCAAAACTGTAGCAGCAGCAGCATTTCCGTAAATCCCTTCAGACTAGTGCTTCCATAGACACTATCTGTGCAGCGTTCTACAAGATCAGAACCCTTGATAAGCACTCATCCTACTTTCTCGTTGCTCTTAATGGAATAAATCTGCAGTCATTTTCCTGGAGCATTCTCGTATTCCTACCCTTAACTTTTTTTTTTTTCCAGCTACTTCTTAACCCATAGGAACTGTAGCGGTTTATGTATTAAGTCCAACGGTTCAACTAGGAATGGCAATGGGGTGGGGTGGGGCAGACTTAGAAATTTTGTCTGGTCTCTGCTTCGTGTACTGCATGGGATAATATTTCTCAAACTATTGCCATCTCAAATGGGGATGAGATCTCCCCAGTACACCGATGCTTATTTAATTTTTGGTTTATGTATTATATCATTTCATTTTATTATCAAATTTTAAATTATATAAAAAAATAATTCATATAAAAAATAAATATTAAGAATTAATAATTATAAATTTTATATAAATTATAATTATAATTTTAAAAATAGAATGGGACGGATAAATACCATCTCCACTCCATCTTTATTCAAAATTAATACAAGATGATACGTTCTCTCTCGATCTCCAATTAACTCGAGGAGTCTCCATTCTGACCGAAGAGGGGGTGGGGCAGCGCTCCGTGGGAGGGGACAAATTACCGGCCCTAAGTCCCACTGCTTCAACCTCATTTGACAAGTAAACTGGCTTTCTTTGTCATCGCCAAGACCCAATCCTACCCGGGTGCGGAAATTGGCTGTGATTCTTTAATTGAAAAAATAATAATGTTTAATTAGAGGGATTATTTGGTATACAGGAAATAGTATACAAAACTGTATTCTATTCCCTTAAAAAAAAATTATTATATAAATAATTTATTAAGTCCTGTGTTTTATAAAAGAACGAAATACAAATTTTAACACATTTAATAATTTCTTATTTAGTTAAAGAAATTGATTATTTTTTAAGTTTGACTAGATTTTTGTCTATCTTATTCTTTGATACCTCCAATTTGACTATGTACGTTTTAGTGTATATGAGAGAAGGAAAGAGGAAGCTAAGAGAGAAAGAGTAGGAAAGAGAAAGTGGTCGGAACCGATAGTTTATATTACGGTTGTCTATAGTTTTGGGGTTGGTTTGACATGAGGAGTTTATTAACGGTCGAAACCAACGCCAACAGTCCCAGAGAAAGGAGATCGGAGACCGGATTCAACACGTAGTTTTGAATTTTGATTTGTTTTTTCCTTGTCTAAAGGTGTGTGACAATGTATTTTGAGGTTGAAAATGAATTTTTGGTGGCGACATTTATTGTTTTAATGTATTGGTGGATACGAACAGCGAAGGGACAAAAATGGTGGGAACGACTTCCGGCCACTGAATTCGCTGGTGATCGTGAAGGCGAGTGACGCATAGGTCACATTCGTTCTATTTTTTTCCTCTCCTAGCAGCTGGAGTGGTGGACCAACCCTAGCTCAGGCCGACGCTGACCTCTATTGGCAGGCCTAGAGCTCGGGCTTTGAAAGCCCAACTTTTATACTCTATGTTATGTTATTTGTTTACTTGTTTATTTAACAGCTTCCTTTTAATTACTATATATTATATTAATACGTTTCTTTTTTTTAGGAAATTTTAATGGTATTTCTTTAAAACAAAAAGAAAAAGAAAGAAAAGAGCTGTCCACTATAAAATAAATTTAAAATTATTAGGTCTTAAATTATGAAATTAAATTATATTTTGATCTAAAAAAATGGAAACATGTTCATTTATCTCATATCAAAAAGAAGAAAGAAGAAATTAAGAAGATATCTTACTTTAATCCCGTGATCCCACATAATTGTAAAGTTTGGAAAAAGTAAGCTAATCTTCTCCTCCATTTCCTTTTTCGTACAATAATCTTCTGATTTGCTAGAATTTAGGAATAGAAAAGGATATAACATTATTAGATCCTAAATTCTGAAATTAACTTAAATATTCTTCTTAAGAAATGGAAGCATGTTCATTTATCTCGAATATTGAAAAAACCAAAATGAAATCTTCTTTTAATCTTGTGATCCTACATTAGTGTGAAGTTTGTAAAATTTAAGCTAATCTCCTCCTCCATATTTCGTCTTCTTACAATAATCTTCTTGCAAATTTATTTGTATTGTGTTTGAGAATGATCTTTTTACTAATTTTGTGTTCATATTAATGAAGTCATAAAAAAAAAAAAAAAAAAAATTCCATTTGAGGTAAGAATAGGCTAATTTCCTTGAACTTGAACCTAATAAGAGTCCCGAAACCGTTAAATCACGACAATCATATTTAGAAATGATAATAAATTATATATGAAGCAGATATCTACTCTATCATATACATTAAAAATGCTTAATGAGTATTAATATAGATAAGGATTATATATATGCACTAACTAGTATAGTTTTTTTAATTAGCATAAGTACTCATTTTATACTTTATTAATAGCTACTAATTCTTTTGAAATAAAAAAATAACACAAAGGGATCTGATTGCATACAAATTATAAAATAGGAAACAAAATGTGTTTTATAAAAACTTATAAGGACCAAAATTTTCTATGAAAAAGACCAAATTGTAAAGAAATTTTTTTATTGATTAGTAGGTATTAAATTGGTATTAAATGGATGAGTAAAACAGAAACGAGCCGTGTATGGGCCTCAATTATATAAAAAATAAAAAAATAAAAAAATAAAAAATCAAGAACGAGTCTGCTGACTGAATCATTAATTCTTCAAATTTATATATATTGTTTGTGTGTACTTAGTTCTGCCAGCAAAATGTTGAACAATTTTTCAAATTTTCAGACTTAATCTAATCTATAATGCAAGCACGCTGAACTATTTTCTTCTCTTCTCTTTTGTTTTGTTTTTTTTATTTCACTTACATCCAACGTTCAATTATTCAGACCAAGTCAGATGTATGAACATTCTTAATTAATCGACCAATCCATTATCTAGACAGGACGTATATCGATGTGCCATCAGTCCAATGATGAGTTTTTTCTCGGGGCCGGTGGGAGAAGAGTATGAAACCTAGAAGTAAGCAGAACCAATAGCGCACTCATGCATTATAAAACTAATCAGAAGAGGAATTTTCACCTTCAAGTTAATACAGTGTTTTCTACGATTTGGTGAACAACCTCATTAATCTAATAATCCAATCTCTACTAGTTTTGGTAAAATCACAAGTTAAAGAAAGGAGGGGAAACCTCTAAAAAGTCAACCGAATATATAATTCGCCTAATGTGTACATTCAATGAATCAATCATTAAGGTATCTCCAAATCTGGGACCTGTTCCTCCATCTGTGGCAGCGATATTTTCATTAAACTATGGTGGTGGCACTGTGGCAGGGCGTTTTTGTCACTGGCTTAAGGGATTCAAGGGCATTTTGGAACTTGTGCTCTCACATCATGCTTGCTGGACACTTTCCTATGCTGCCATCTGGCTGATCTATGGGTATTGGACTAACCTAGATGGAGCAAAGAGGTAAAATATCCAGCAAGAAAAGTGAGGACATGGCTTAAGGGTTTGGTAATTGCATATGCAACCGAAACCGCCCAACAAAACCCTAACCTTAATTAACGTAACCTTAAGTACGAAGTCTATTTCTCTCTTTTTATCTCTTTTATTTGTCTATAACGAAAAGAATTCAAGTCACTCTAAAGAGAAGTAACCACAAATATTCAACGTGAGAAAGGAAAGAAAGATTAATAATTCACAATTATTAGCTTGTCAATCGTCAAAAAGCAGGATCATGCACCCTAAGACTTCATCATTTACCTAAGAAACCGGAGAATCTAACCCTCTATATATATACAACTTAATGAACTTGCATCCCTCAACAGCAAAAACATTTTCATCATTGCATCGTTATTGTTGCACAAAAATAACACAAACTAGCGAGCCATACTAAGTTATTTAAATTAATTACAAATCATTCAATTGCTTGCTATGGATTTTGTGCATGGAAGTACTGTTACTCATGAGAAGAAAACTTCGGTTCTTCAAGGAGATAATTTCTTCTTCAATAGAGTTATTTCAAGAAACTCTTCTGCGGGTTGCTCTTCGCGTATATTCTACTACCGGAGTGCCGAAGGAGTGCCATTTAAATGGGAAATGCAGCCAGGGACACCGAAAGATCCCCCTAAAGAAGAAATCATTCCACCACTTAGCCCCCCACCTGCTGTGCTGAGCTTAGGGCTGCCAAAGCCGTGCATTGATATTGAAGAGCAAAAGTTTTCAATGCGGTCAAGATTCAAGTTCTGGAAACACACGAAGAAAAATAAAAGAAACAAGAAATCCCAACAACGGTCTGAGGGGAATAATATCAAAAATACTAATGATGAGTCTGATAAGCTTGAAAGGTTTGAGTTTTATAGCTCTGATGGTGATTTCATGGCCTCTTCTCCACGTAACTCAAGCTTTTCATCTTCATCTTCACTGTCTTTCTCTCATGGTCATTCAAGGCAGTTGTCGAGAATCGAGAGTACTCCTGCTAGGGATTCAATGCAGGAGCCTCATGGTTGCATTCCTTGGGATTTTACTGCAGTTCTTGTTAGCGTTGCAAGGCGAAATATTTGACAATTTGCCATCTGTATTAACCATGTGTCAGGCCAATTAGTTTTTTGTGCTGTGTCTGGTGATACATACCAAGAACTTTGTGCTGCAACATAGAAATTGATTATATATATATATAAACTTCATATGTAAAATTATTGTATATTTTTACTCTGAAAGATGTATTTGTAACAATTTTCAGCATCGAATGATCTGCTGACTATATTGGCTCCAATTTCTGCTCCAATTAATATTGCTTTTCATTATGTAGTTGTCTTTGCTGATTCACTTGGATGGGAATTTTAGCTGAATATTAGAAGGAGAAAGAGAAAAGTGAGAGAAAATCATATACCTGTAATTTGTTAGTTGCTTAGTATTTCTTTTGATTCGCTGGTTCGGCTATACAATTAAGAGTGACAATCTGTCTCAACCACTCTCATTTCAGGCGAAAGCAAGAATTAATCCTAATTTCTACTTTTTATTTCAGTGGAAGTCAAATCGACTGTCACCACATTTTGTATTATTATTTTTGTCTGGTGTATTATATATATAGCCAATTTCTTTTCAAAATATTAATTGTCCCTCCCTCAAATATCTTTTAAATTATTCTTGAATTCATTTCCTGTACATTCCAAGTATAGGGGGGTTTGAATTCGAGGGCAGGTTCACTAATAACTTCTTAATTAACTAGCACCTCTAAGTAGTTAATTTGTTATACTGTAATTTGTATAAGAGATTTAGTTAGGGGAGAAAGAAGAAAAAAGAGAAATTACTGAGAACTATTATCATAAATTGCAGGAATAAAAAATACAGAAAATTAGGAAATTGAAATGATATATTAGAATAACACTTATATTATCAGTGTTTGAAATGGTAATAAATTGCGCACTAATATGTAATAGAATTATACTCCTATCCTCTATTTGATGCCCTCTTAGCTTTGTTGGTGCATAATACCTAGACCTGGCATTGAATTTTCTAAATTTTAGTGTATTTATGAATGGAAAAATTTTGTAGGGGGTGGAGGATTAAAAGCCAAAGCGTAATTAATATACATGGGAGACCGGATTTGCGTGTATAATGACTTGATAGCCAACTTTTCTAAGTTGGAAATTAATCATTATTCTTGAAAATCTAAGTTGGAAAGTTTCAAAAAGGTTTACCACCACTTGCTCACGTGCTTTGTTGAGAATTTAATTTCATTGTTTCACCTCATCATGAATTACAGGAGTTCGAATACAATTCTTTTCTAGATTAATTTAAATCTTGAATGAGATTTATCAAGATAAAATCTGCTGGAGATATATAAAACTTTAGAAAAAATTTCAACAGATGTAATTTAGATAATTAACAATCTTTTCTCAAACAATAAAATAAAATAAGACCAAAGAAAAAAGAGGGAAGATTATTGAGAATCATTTGGTGGAGATATATTACACACTGTATATTGTAAAAAGTTCAATAAAAACGAGTTAAATTACTCAACAGTTTCATTAGGCAAATATATTTGGTCAAATAATTGGAGAGACAATTAGATTTGCGTAATTATTTTCATGTATCCATGTTGATATGATATGATTTAGTTTCCATAAATCGGCAGATGTGGTCGTTCTATAAACTTTGCTTAGTGACAGAATCCAATTACACATTTGCCGTGCATCTACATAATGATAAGCCAACCCTGAGCCCTATAACCCTGCCATTAGACCAAAAGAAGATGATTTTAGATCATATCGGAACTAGAAGCGAAGACAGAATTACGACTGTATACCAAGTTGATCCTGGCTTCTACAAGAAAATCCTCTCTAGGAACAGGTCTCTCAGCAATTCCAGTCGCATTTTCGATAACCCTGGAGAGGTCCCTTTCACTTGGGAAATGCAGCCTGGAAGGCCTAGAGAAGCACCTAACATTGAGACGGTACCGCCAATTAGGCTCCCACCGGCTGTTCATGGCTTGAACATGCCAAAGCCACGCTTTCATCACTCGGGCCCTATGGCTTACATCTCGAAGTACATCAAGAAATTGAAAATGATAAAGAACATGCAACTTGGCTTACCACCAGCAGTTCCAAGCTCGGGCATGCCGAAGCCTAAAATTCCTCACAAGAAGGTTAAAGTTACATTTTTGAAGAGCTTGGAGAAAGCAAAGAAAGCAAAGAATCTTCGAATTGGAAAGAAAACCAACAGTAGTTATCTTCATAAGAAATCGAAAGCAAAACCTGTGGAGACTAATGGCTATGCTAGCGGCACAGACGAAAGTGATGGCTCCTGCATCATTGATGGAAATCATTTTACACCATCACCTACAACTTCTGTTGCAAGTGGTTCATCACGGTCATCATCATCATCTTCATTTAACCATGCCAAGAAACTGCCGAAAAAATTACGATTCTGGAGTCTACATAAGGAACTTAGGAAATGGAGAACAACCAAGTGATCTGGATAATTCCTTGGCTACTATTACTGCTATTGATCAGGATTGTTAGCTCCAATTCTCTGCATGAACCAAATTGATTCAGTGTGAAGGTCATCCGTTATTTGTTGATCTAATGCATTGGTTTTTTGATGCACATCAAACATCCATAACGATGTAAGTGTTGGCCTTTAGGGAATTCGAATGAACAGATTTTTTGTGGCCTAAGAATCTCATCTTGAATTGGAAATTATAATCCTTAAAGACGTACTTTTATTTCACTAATATATATGCCTTCTTAGTAGATTTTCTAGATCTTCCTATTCAATCCTTAGTAGATTTTTTTTTAAAAGTTAATTTCTTATGCACTAAAAACAAATTAATTAAAAGAGGAAAGATTTTCTCATAAATCAAAAGGAATAAGAAAGACAATAATTTTTTATACACTAGAAACAATACAAATTGAGTAGAATCACTAAATTTTGGATTCAAAATTTAAACTAACATAGAAACAATCAATTATGTGGAGTGGGAGGTTTTTTTTTTTTTTTTTATAAATATTTTCATCTAATATTGGAGATAAGACTAATCATGCTTAAAGCATGAGTGATAAGATTTAAAATCTCAATAAATGCGACTTTAAGAGTCAAACCATACCATTCATAAAAAAATTATCTAGAGATTAGTTTACTTGCTGTTAGACCAAGAATTTGTGAAAACCATAATCTCACAATTACAAATTAGAAATCTTGCTTGTATATATCATTTGGACAATTACTTCGCCTCTAAAACAAGAGATATGCATATAATTTTTTTGACTAAAAACAAGTCACTCAACAAATTATTTTCCCAATTGAGTCCCTCATCTAATTAATTAATTAATTAATTATAATCTATCTAGATGTTATCTTGAGTTCAAACTACATTTATTACCATATTAAACCGCATGAGAGTAAAATTGGGTAAAATTAATCAAATTAGGGGATTCAATTGGAGAAGTCATTTGTTAGTGGTTGTTGACGAGAATAGGATAATATTTGGATGATGTATTCGTCTTTTTCTCCTAAAAAAAAGGCATACAAATAAAATCAAGAGGACGGGAATCAGTAATGTAACGCTACAGTAGAATTCTTTTTCTGTCAATATTTTTTCATTAAAAAAATTTGAAATGAAGTGATTACCGACTAATAGATAGATCATTAATCATTTTACTTAGTATTTAGCAAGGGCAATTTCTATGATTATTTGAAGACATTATAATTATAGTGATTTCTAGTTGCAAATTATTAAATGTTTTTATTTACTGTATCTTAATAATTAATTTTATTACTTAGTAATTTAACAAGTATCTCATAATTATGATGCTTATTAATGTTATTGTACAATTATTGTTAGATAATTTAATGCATCATAAAAAGTTATTTTATTTTTCATAATTTAGTTAATTACACTATAATTATAATAGTTTAACCATAGCTAGTTCTAAAAAAAGTAAAACTACTTGTAATCGTATCAAAAGATCGAAGATCAAATGCCGCTTTTATTTAGAGTTAACAAATCATTAAGAGAGATAGAAAGTTTTTATTAGAAATTAGAAAAACTTTGAAGTTATGATGAATGACATAGGGAAAAAAAAACACAAATGAAATGATCAAAGTTATATATATATATATATATATATATATATATATATATATATTAGGGTATTTTCGAATCAATTTTAATATAAAATGGGTTAAGTCCATTATTTTCTAGGCAATGCTAAAATATGCCTAGTTTTTAATCTACTAGTAGACTATCTTTTAGACCAAGTCCGATACTTTTAAGAGATAATTTTGATCAAAGTAAAGTAATTTTTATTATGGATATAGATTACATTTTTTAGTGGTATGAAACGATTGAAGTAACTACAAATTTTTTTCCTTTGGACATTTTTCATCAATTATTCTTTATTCTTATGCAAGGTGAATTTTAAGAAAATAACTACCAATGTATTCAGCATTTTGTTTTCGAGGAACAGGGGACGAGCTCGTTAAGAAGCTTCACTAGGTCTTCTAAGAGCCTAAAAACTCAAGGTTAGATCGAGAATGAAAATCTCGATGCTTAAATTAGTATAATCTTTTGGAGGATGATAATAATAAGAGAAAGCGTGTTTGTAATGCATGAATTATCAAGGATACTAGTAGAGATCATGATCAAATACAACTCTCTCGTATAGAAAATATAGGGATAAACTTTAGCTTAACAACTCAAGCTTATCTAGCAGAGAGTTCTATGTAAACATCTTAGCTAAGGATTACTCGGCATTGTAATTATCCTGCAGCCTACATCTCCTATATATATAGAGTTGCAAGTACATGTAATCGATAGAGGCTGAAATATACAAACTTTGAATCATTAAACTCTATGTTTATATGGTATCGTAGCTCCTTTAAGCTCCAACGAGCCGGATCCAACGTAAACGAGTTATGGAAGACACCTCATCCTCTAACCAAAATAACCAACCACGAACTAGCCTCGCTTCAAGCATGGTAACCCAAACAACACCATCCCTTCCCAACTCGATTAGCTTCAATGCAGCAGCCTCAACTTCCTTTTAAACTAATCGAGCAGTAGCACTCTATCCAACATGGAGGGCACAACTTACTACCTCAGTTACTTGGGTATGATCTCATGAACTACGTGGATGGATCATACCAATGTCGAGTTAGCACCATTCAACATGAAGGTCACACCATAACTAATCCCGAATTTAAACGATGGCGGAGGCAAGATAACTTACTAAGAAATGTCATCTTGTCCTCTCGTTGATGCCACCATTGCACCATTAGTTGCGTAACGTCTACCTCCAAACTAGCATGGGACAATATATCAACAACTTATACAAATAAGTCTCAAACCGGAATCTATGGTTTAAGAGCAAGCCCGGCCAAAATAATTAAAGATACCAAACCTATAGCCGATTATCTAAAGGAGATAAAGACAATTGCGGATGAACTAGCCATAGTTGGCTCCCCACTCAACGAATGATGAACTATTAATAAAGATTCTTAGTGGACTTGGACCCGATTACAAAGCAATCAATGTAACTATCCATGCTTGAGATATTCCTATCACCTATGGAGAGTCGTTTGACAAGCTCACCGATCACGAAATCTTTCCGATAAATGATGAGGTCAAGAAAGATCCCACCCCCGTCATCGCCTAATTTCATCAACGTAGCTACTTTAATAGACCTCGTGGAGGTGGCAACCATTATAACCTAGCCTCCTACACCAAGTCCAAGGGCGGTCATCATAACACCAATAACTCATCACACTCCTTGCAATCAAAGTATTCCTTATCGGATCATCGCAACTCCCACTCGACAGTCTCCTCCTATGCAGGAAAATAAATACAAGGTGCGAGTGCCAAATATATGATAGATATGGGCACACCGCCAAAGCTTACGATGTCACGCTTCTCCGAGCCCCAAGCTAACCTTACAGGACGCACCTCAATGCCCACTGAAAGTAATTGGGTATTGGACTCAAGTGCCTCCCATCACATAACCTCAAATATTTAGAACATGTCTATTCACTCGAGTACAATGGCAATGATGATATCATTGTTAGAGATGGTAACAACATTCCATTTCTTATACCGATTCTTTCAAGCTTGCTAGCCCTACTTACTCTTTCACATTGCAAAATGTTCTATGTGCTCCTAAAATCCAACGTAATTTATTATCGATATCTTAGTTTTATAATTTCAGTAAAACCTCCATTGAATTCTTTCCATCCTTTTTTGTTGTGAAGGACTTGACCACGGGGGCAATGCTCGTTCGAGGCCAAAGTAAAGGGCATCTCTATGAATGGCTAAGTGCACAAAAATCATCTTCCATTCTAGTTATTTTTTGCAAGCCACGTACACACATCCTCACTATGGCATCAACGCCTTAGCCATCTAAACGCATGCACTCTTCAGCAAGTTCTCACTCGCTCATAATCTCCCCTTCTCAAAATCTTTAATTTCCAATCTTTGTAATTCCCGCCTTTGTAATAAATGTCACAAACTACCATTTAGTGTTTCATCTTTAACAAGCTCAAGACCACTTGAACTAATCTATACGGATGTTTGGAGTCCCACTCCAATTACTTCACGTGATGACTTTCATTATTATGTAATCTTTGTAGATCATTACATAAAGTACATTTGGCTATATCCACTTAAACGAAAATCGACGTTACTCCAGTCTTTGAAAAGTTCAAATTACTTGTGGAAAAATACTTTCATTTACCCATTATTACAAGTATTCTCAAATTGAGGTGGTGAGTACCTTGGACTCACTCACTTCCTCTCAACTAATGGGATTTAACATCTTTTCTCTCCATCCTATACACCATAACGTGTTGGAGTTGCTCGAACATCGTCACGTACATATCCTAGAAATAACACTCACTCTCCTTCATCACTCCTCTACACCACTATAATTTTGGACATATGTATGTCGATCGCAAGTATAGCTCATAAACGTAATGCCCACTCTCAATTGTCCAAACACATCATCATTTGCATCTCTATTTCACACCTCTCCTAATTATCACAACTTTTATGTCTTCTATCGCCTATGTTATCCATGGCTTAAACCTCATCGAATCATAAACTTGAAACCAAATCTAACCCATGTGTCCGCCTTGGCTACTCCAAATCCGATCATTGTTACCAATGCTTAGACCCTATAACTTTTCGCATTTATCTATCTCGACATGTGATCTTCATTGAAGACACATTTCCTTTTCAAACTTACCCCTCCTATACGGTTCGTGTAACTCCATCTCAAATATCTAGTTAGATGAATGTATCTCCATGCCATGACATACCAACTAAGCCTAACCTAGTCAATCGACTATTCATTATTCTGCTATTCCAATTTCTAGTCTCGTACTCGCATCTAGTGAACCTCCCGCTCCATCAATCACAAGCTTCACGTCCAATACCGAGGCCTCTACGAGTGCTCACCATGGTCTTACTCTTTCAACATC